CACACACACATACTACAGGCAAACAAGACGACAAAATACACACACTAGTTACATTTGTATTCAAATGTCATGGAGCCGAGCTGGAGGCAGGATGTGTCCTACTTCCACAAAAAACGGCTACTCAAACAAACAAACTGCCCTGTTAGCCTCATTCTCCAACATTTCTAAAAGACATTGTTTAGCTAAAAGCTGTGTTTACTCTTTAACAGAAAACACACATTTTCGTAAAACATGACAATCCCCAGGCGCTTACGCACATCGTTTGCTCAGATTGTGGTTAACTTCGTTTACACAAATCTATTTGAATCTATTTGAGTAAAAAAAGCCAACTGAGAGACTCACTCACAGCATGGACGATATTGCAAAGATTATATAACTTTACCTTATAAATATGTATATATGTAAATATAAAATATCATAACGAATTAGATGTTCTTGCAGTCTGTACTTGCACTCCTCATACATATTCAATATTGTTCTTTTTATTTTCCTACACGTTTCAAATAAACCTTGACCTCTGCTTTGAACTTTTGAACCTGAAACACCTACATTGTCATAAATGGTGTACTTACATATAGTGTCCGTAACACTGTGCTCCCGTCATGGTGTCCATGATCATGCCTCTCTGCTGTGTGCTGTTACCGTGTCTGCGCTTTTCAAACTGTCCGGCTCCTTTGTGTGTCTGTCTGGAACTTGTGTGACCCAAAATGATTTTGTCATATTGCCACGTCAGTGACTGTGTGTTTGATGTGTGTTCCAGCTCTGGGTCAAACTAGTGGCGCTGTCGGCTCCATGATGACTTTGCTGTCAGTCAGACATAAAGGAGGCCTACTTTAGCGAACAATACGCCTGAGTGTGCCTTCACCTCACAGAGATTCGTCTTTGCGATGTCTGTCCTCCCCCACTGCAAGCCCACGTCCTCTATTTCAAGCCCAGATTGGATCTAGCCTGATTTTACAGGGCCATAACTATCTGTGTGCGCAAAACCAGGACTCCATATGCTACACTAAGGTTGGGCAAAATTTGGAATACAAGAATTAGGTCCCTTTCAATTCATTAGTTAAGTGGGAAGTTGAAATGAAAGGAAGTCAATTGAAATTCAAAGGAATTTCACAAATTGTGCATTTTGTTTGCACAAAAAAAAAAAAAAAATGCAAGCAATATTATGAAGTGTGTAATTATTATTATTATTTTTTTTACAATTATTTGAAAGTGAAAGTGACTTCACTTGTGGCCAAGTATGGTGACCCATACTCAGAATTAGTGCTCTGCATTTATCCCATCCAAAGTGCACACACACAGCAGTGAACACACACCCGGAGCAGTGGGCAGCCATTGTTTTGCTGCGGCGCCCGGGGAGCAGTTGGGGGTCCGGTGCCTTGCTCAAGGGCACCTCAGTTGTGGTATTGAAGTTGTGAGAGAGCGCTGTACATGCCCGTATGAGACTCGAGCCCACAACCTTTGGGTTACGAGTCCGACTCAAACCATTAGGCCACGACTTCCCCATTACTATTTTTATATATTACAGTCCAAAATTGATCTATAAATAAAATATAATTAGATGTAATTTAATATAATTTAATTCATTTTAAATATATTTACATTTATTTATATAAAATTTATATATTTATGCATTTATCTCATAAATATATTTATTAAATATATTTCATTTAATTATATATTAAATACAGTTATATACAGTTAATTTACATATGTTATTTATAATTTTGCATATTATAAAATGTTACAATTAAAAAAGAATCTACATCTATAATTAAAATATACTACTATATAAACAATAAAATATATACAGATTTTTAATTTGAAATATATTTACATTTTTCAACAAAATTAATATTTATCTCATAAATAAATGTCATTAAATATATTTAATTTTATTCAAATACAGCTCATTTTACATATAAATGACATATTTAATATTCATTTAATATTATATTTAATATTTTTTATAATATTTAATTAGAAAGATTCTACAATCACAGGTCAAAATTTATTTAAAATTAAAATAACATAATAATAAAATAAAATAGATTTGAATTGTATGTATATATACATATAATATATATATATATATATATATATATATATATATTCTAATTATATATTTTAATTATATTTGTTTTATAATACAAAATATAGAATTTAAATATATATTATAGAATATGGAATATAATGTATAATATCATACATATTATAAAAGAACATAATATGTAATAAAAAGACAGTCAAAAATAACCCATGCGTAAATCAAAACCATATATGTGTAATTCTAAAAACTTTAAAAATAATATATATTTATGAAATATTCCTAGTGGCATTTCAAACACTGATTATTAATATCATGTCATGTCATGTGACACATCATGTGTGTTTTTTTTCTCGTGGAATTTATACTGAAAAAATAAAATTTTATGAATTCCAATTTCATTCCATTTTAGTTCTCATTCCTTAAATTCAAATTACAACTCTGGGCACCAAATTTAAAATGGATTCTCTATTTAATTTAACACTTTCTAGGTGAACGCCCCCATTTCCTATTTTTACCTCGTCTTCCATCACAGCATGTACAGACAGCTCACATACACACATCTCTCTCTCTAGTGTCCCATGGCTTGCAGGCTCTGTTCATGTCCCGTCCCACTCACTTCTACACACACAATGACTGTCAGCTATAGACTCCTGATCTAACTGCACGCTGACACCACAAATGAAGTAGCTTCACACGGCACGACTGCCAGAGCCTCTGGACAGCTTTACTCTCTCTCTCTCTCTCATGCATACTACATCTAAAGTCTCAACACACTTTCCCTAGCCTTAAATGATGTATTGGTGCTTGTCAAAATTATTCATGCTTAAAAGAAGAGGTTGAAACGCGGCTTTGATGTGCTGTCCAATTATGGCCATGTACAAGTAACAAACAGATGCACTGTCTTCCTATTACACAGACAGGTGAAGCTGGTTTGCATAAGGGAGATGAGATAAGCAAACTTGTAACAGTGATGTCAGCAAGTATTCACATTCAAAGCAAAAATTCAGATGTACGTGGCAACAGGACACTCCACAGTGCAGGGTAAACAAAATACAGACCTCATTTAATCACATAACCAACAGTGTAGGAATAAAGGAATGCAACATAATTGTACATGTTAATTTCAACCAATCCCAAAGGATTCTAATGGAACCTTCAACACTATGGATTTAACTTTACTTGTATGGCGAACAGTGTTATTTTAGTATTATTTATATACTATTTACAGTTATTGAATTAGCTTTTACACTGTAAGAACGAAATCTGTTAAAACATATAATGTCCTGCCAGAAAATTACCAATGTCTTCTCCGTTTCATTTATGAACATTTCCGTGGACATTTCCATTTCCAACACAATACATAATTCAAAACACCTGTGAAAAAAATCTATATGGAAAATTACTTCATTTTCACATGGAGCTGCATTCTTATGGACTTTGCGTAGTGTAGTTCTATATTTTCAGTTTTCATTTTAATTTATTTTTAGTAATTTTGTTATGTGCTTTTATTATTTTTATTTTTTTATATTTGTTTTGTTTTTAAAAATGTTATTTATTTTTTGGTTGCGCTGTAGGCTATGTTCCTGATACACTAAAAGTCAGACAGCACTGCTCGTGTTGTGTTTTTCGTGCGGCTCAACAGAAGGATGTGTTTTAAAGACGTCTTTTAAATCGCATCAAATTCACTTCAGACTGCAAACTGACATTCACAACTTGTGTAAAATAAGATTTATTTTTCTGTGGCGCTTTCAGCAGCAGATACACATTGCATTACACTAATTACTGCATGCCTTTTATGTACAATATTTATGTACAATAATGCAGTTAAACAAATAAAGAAATGCCACTGAAAGGGCACAGAAATGTAGACATTCCTTCAGGCTTGATAAGCATCCTGAACAGAAAAGGTCAACATCTCCAGAGACTCTAGAAATACAGAAGACTGATGAGACGGGATTCACACATCAAAAGAGACAAACGGCAGCATCCTCAGCACCTCTGCCTATCTATCCAAATGTGTTGATGCCAAGAAAAAACTCCCACATTGCCTGTTCTCGTTGTTTCCAACACCCACTGTGACACCCACCATTGACGGACTGTGGCCAGTAAAAACACGGTGACATTAGTGAAATTTTCAGGCAGAAAGTCTACTGTCAATAGTGCAGCAATGTATTAAGCACAGCTCACAAAAGCTTTTTGCTAGTCAACATGGCAAACTCAAGCGACCAACTTGCGAAACCCCTCAACGCGAAATTGCAGATTGCATGGATTCCTACCCAGCTAACAAAATATGTTCTAAGAAGCCATTCACGCAAAACAGATGAGTTTTTCAAAAGCTTTTAACTTGAGCACACAGCAATTTTACAATGCTGTGCCATGCATGAGATGCTGCAAAAGACGTGAGATGTGAGTGCAACGGTCAAACACGCAAGTCTAGCTAGTGTTTAAATAGAAACAATGAAAAAGTAGCACAGTTGAATGGAAAAAACATGTTCTGTGTGAACAGCCAATAAGAATGTTTTGCTAGCATTCTCATTAAGTTACGTTATTTCAAACCAATTTTTAATGTTTTATAAACATTTTGTCATTTAACCTTATGCTAATGTTAAGAGAACATTCTATTTTGCAACCACTCTTATTTTAAATGTTCTCTGTACCAGATAACTTTGAATGATCATTCTGTTAATGTTACTGGAAGAATGTTCATAACTTTGAGTGAGAGAACCTTGTTAGAATGTTAGTGTGCCTGCGAAATGTAAATGTGACCGCAACTTAAAGCAAAATGCTAAAAAAGAGAAGCGACTTCTTAAACCAGCAGTTTAAAGCCTGACATCGTGCTCTATATAGAACTAGAGTACTAGGCCCTTTCAGGCTCTCATTAATTATGCAAAACGACACCGAGGGAGCTAGGGAGCTGGGGAGGGGGCTGGGGGGCCAGGAGAAATCTTACCTCGTGTCAAAAAGTGGGTCTGTGTACATAGGTAGAAAACAAACCGTGTCTCGTTCATTGGACAACGCGTTCTCTTGGCTGTGCGTTGGTTTAGTTTGTCCTTGCTTCTTGTTTCCTCCAGCTGAGCCATCTGTGAAGGAGAAACAGAGAAACGGCTACTTTTAGGAGACAAAAATCTTTCAGACACCTTTGAAAAGTTTACTTTGACTGTAGTATCTGAATAGTAATGTAATGATGATTCATTTGGCACTCTGAAATGAGTCATTTGGAGTGTTTTGGAATGATTCAGTCAGAAAGAAAGGACGCGTTTCAGATAAATGTCTTTTATTTGCAAATGGCTACTCCTATCAAACTAAATAGTTAAATCAAAAATATATTAAAAATACAGTTCAGTAATAAAACATCTGCCAAATCAAAGGATAATCCAATCTTTTGAAGAAGATTGTATTGCACACACAAACACGTACAAACCCAGATATCACACGTACGTCTGCAAGATGTCTGTTAAAGATCGCTTCATCTGGAAAGCATCTGCTGTGTACAAACATCTGACAGATGTCTCTAAGATGTCAGTTTTACATTATAAATCATAAACATCTTAAAGACATCTTCTAAATGTCTATTTGACATCTGATAGGAAACGTCCTATAGATGTCTTGCAGATGAGCAAACACTAAAAAATATGTCTTGCAGATGTAAATGCAGACGTCAAATAGATGAACGTGTGCTATCAGGGAAGTATGAAAATCTCACTAGTTCGTTGTTTACATTTAGCATAGGCAACAATCAAACTTTTTGAACATACATTTACTAAAGAACTAGTAATACATAATATAGTTTGCTAATGTTATTAATGAAAGTCATAATGAAATGTTAGCAAGTGTCTTTAGCTAATGTAAATGCTGTGTGTTGTGTTTAGGTGAATGAATGTCTGTTTCATTCAAGTAAAATGTTTACCAGTAATAAATGGTAAGTAAACAAAATAATTAATTTTGTGGACAAAATAAGTGACTTTTTTCGTCACTAATTGTTTCTTAAAGGGGTCATATGATGTTGCTAAAAATAACATTATTTTGTGTATTTGGTGTAATGAAATGTGTTTATGTGGTTTAAGCTTCAAAAAACACATTATTTTCCACAAACTGTACATTATTGTTTCTCCTCTATGCCCCGCCTTTCTGAAACGCATCGATTTTTACAAAGCTCATCGTTCTGAAAAAGCGAGGTGTGCTCTGATTGGCCAGCTATCCAGTGCGTTGTGATTGGCTGAATACCTCAAGCGTGTGACGGAAATGTTATGCCCCCTACCATACTGTGATGCCATGTCCCGGTGCAATGAGACAAAAACAATAAAACCCATTATAAACGAGGCATTTGTTGCATCCAGTGGGGACATAATTACGGATAATAATGACTTATACTGTCTTTTTACGGGTTGCGTTGAGTCCTCCATAAAATGCACTGCACACATCTGAATATTTGGTTTGAACTGTTCTGGAACAGTGTTGTAAATACAACTTAACCACTGATTTCTAGTCCTGTCCTCTTTTGGAAGACCAAACAAAGTAGTTCCGCTTTCGCAACGAAACACAGCATCTCCACGACATGGCGGCGGTGGCAGCAACAATAAAGTTATGCCTTCTTTCTTTGCGTGAACATTTGGGCGGTGTTATGCAAATCTTCCCACACAGTGATGTAGGTATGTGGGGGCGTGTTTAAATGAGGCGTTTTAGGAGGGCGTGGACTAGTCTTAACTTTTATAAAGAATATCTCTTTGGGTTTGAGACTTTAGTCTTTGCAACTTTAGGGATCTTATCTATTCACAAACAGCTTGTAACACTCCAAAGAGAAAAGAAAACTTGAAATTGCATCATATGACACCTTTAATTCTACTGGTCTTTATACCGAATATATCGAGCACCCTCTTCAGGTGCCAAATCAAACTGCTACTGTTGATCTAAAACAGGGCTGTCCAAACTCAGTCCTGGAGGGCCGGTGTCCTGCAGAGTTTAGCTCCAACTTGCCTCAACACACCTGACTGGAAGTTTCTAAGCCTAGTAAGAGCTTGATTAGCTGGTTCAGGTGTGTTTGATTAGGGTTGGAGCTAAACTCTGCAGGACACCGGCCCTCCAGGACCGAGTTTGGACAGCCCTGATCTAAAAATCTAGAAGGGTCCCCAACACAAGACTGAGAGTTAAATTGCTAGAAATGTTCAACCAAGGTCTTCTATAACGGTAAAGACGGTTGATTAATTGCATGAATAAATCATTAGACCCCTATAGCTTGAGTAATAGCTCAGCTATCCTGATAATTTGGCCTGTTTATCATCCTCACATTAATCTGTCTACATCAAACTGCAAGATTAAGATAAATTAGCCGACGAGCTTAACCTAGACAGTTTAGTTTGAGGCCATATGCTGGGTTTTGCCCGTAACTGCTTGTCGCCTGGGCTATCCGGTAATCTCCTCAGAGGGGCGGATTTAAGCGGGCTATTTTCTGACAGCTCTTAGTGGGACACGCTGGCTTAAACTGAGTTTGTGGGGCATACAGGCCTGGTTGGTGTCTATACTTCCATGCTATTCAGCTGGGGCTTTAACTACTCTTTAAAATTAGATTAAGATAACAAACCTCAGCGATTTGCAAAGGTGTTTGTGAAGGTACTGAGGCTTTGCATTTATGCAGGATCCTACGTCAACATAATTTATGTTCATATTTTTTATAAAAAAATATAATAATGATAATGATGTTTCAGTTATTCTCCTATGATTCACATTACCCCTTAATATGGAATAGCTTGCTTATCCTCACTCTCTTGCCTGGGAGAATGTCACAATTCATGTTTAGGTCACATTTCACCTCAAAATCAGAACAAATCAATAAGAAAAATGTATTAATTAAAATGAAATTGAAATCTATACTTAGGCATATTATTTATTGCTTTTTTTATTAATAATATTTTAAGATTTATTTTCATCTTTATTAAGCACATTTCTCTCAATATTGTCATTATCATAATGTAAAATATTGCCTGGTGCATGGAAGAATCTAACAGTTCATATTCAGGTCATATTTCACTCCAAAATCTGAAGAAAATAATAAGAAATATTAGTTTATTTATTTATTTAAATGAAAATAAAACCTATATTTGGGAGTATTATTTATTGATTTATTGATCTCACAGTTCATGTTCAATATATATATATATATATATATATATATATGATAATGAAACCTACACTATATTTAGGAGCAATATTTATTGCTTTTTTGCATTAACAATCACTTTTTTGACATTGTTTTGATCTCTGTTAAGCACATTTCTCTCAATATTCTCATTATTGTAATGTGAAAAAAAACCATGAAAGGAAATTAATCAAATAAAAAAATAAGAAAATATATGGATTAAGATTTTTTGCAAAATAACATGATTATTTTGTTTACTGTCTTCTCACATTTGCTATTACTGTAATGCAAAAAAATGTCATTACTGTAATGCAAAACAACAACAAAGAATGTTTTTCATTACATAAGAATCAAATGAGAATAATGGAAAATACTAAAATATACAAAACAAATTAAATGCAAGAAATGTTTAAAAATATTAAATTTTCCTTATGCAGCATTTTTATTTATTTATTTAGTCAGTTAGTTTTGTTTGGAGTGAAATGGGACCTGTTCCCATGAGGTTTGCCCACCTTTGTTCTAAATAGACAGCCGATGAAGTCTGATTTACCTTCACTATCCAACAGGAAGCAGGTAAGCAGATGAGGACACACTTCCTCCAGTACGGAACAGAAGGCGTTGAACGCACCTGGGCCCTTCTGGGACAGCTGATCCAAGAAGAGCTCAGCTCGTTGCTTGCTGGAGTCTTGACCCAGTATCTCTTTGTATTCCCCGAGAGAAAATACTTTGTCATACACCAGGTACGGCAGCACCTTGTTGACATCCAGTTCCTTCAGGATCATCTCCCTATGCTGTTTCAGGACCTTAGCGACCCATTTCTTTCTCTTCCTGTTGACAGGCTTTCTTCCTTTAGTCCTCTGTCTTTTATTCTTCTTTATAAACCACTTTTTAGTGCCACTTCCAAACATCTTCACGTTGAGGATTCCCACTGAGACATCTTGAACAGTTCCATCAAAGAAAGGAAAGTGCATATTTTTTACAACCAATACATGATCATGCTTGTATGTTCTGCTCGTATTTGTTGTGCCACCCAAAGTGTCTGGGGCAGCAGGATAATGTGGACAGAGACAAAATACAGCTTACAGATGGTAATAGGATTAGCTTTGTGTTAAGCAGACTACGGTTAGGTTGATCTGTCTATTGCTAGTTTGGAATACATCAGTGTATATGAAATCTGAGGTTGTAGTTGTTTTAAACAACAACGACAACAACAACAAAAACAGCACATCAAATCTGTAAAAAATAAAATAATTTATTTGATAGACATTTGATTTTTTTCATAATCCTAAACATATGCATTGACAACAAAAGAGTAATTCGAAAGCTTAATTAATACGCTTTATTTTATATTTACTGAATAAAAGGCTATATGTACTATTTTCAGTAGCCTAAATATCCTGATTGCAGTAGCAGACTATACCAGTAGAGAGAAGCACAGTCTTGACTGGCTCACTGTTTATCCCAGGTTAACCTACTACTCATACAGAAAATCTCTGTGAACCAGTGTTTTTTTTTTAGTAACGAGATATATTTTTAAAAATCTATTATTAATTTCTATTAGTTTTTATTTCTTTACATTTTCTGTGTTTCTGTCATTTTTGTTAGTCTTATAACCCTGCTGCGAGCTAACATTATTTTGTGTATTTGGTGTAATGAAATGTGTTTATGCGGTTTAAGGTTCAAAAAACACATTATTTTCCACATGCTGTACATTATTGTTTCTCCTCTATGCCCCGCCTTTCTGAAACCCATTGATTTTTACAAAACTCATCGGTCTGAAAAGCGAGGTGTGCTGTGATTGGCCAGCTATCTAGTGCGTTGTGATTGGCCGAATACCTTAAGTGTGAGACGGAAATGTTACGCCCCTTAACACACTGTGATGCCTGCGGCAACCACATGTGACGACCCCGGGCTGGACTCCGCTTTGTCCACGGTGAAAGCCGGTCCGGCGATCCACAGCACGAAGTTGAAGTATTTCTTCAGCGACCAGCACGGATCAGCTCCAGGCATGACGAAGCAGATATCGTCCTCTTTTGGAAGACCAAACAAAGTAGTTTAGCTCTCACAAGGAAGCGCACAGTGCCTCCACGACATGGCGGCGGCAACAACAATACTACAGCGAGAATAAAAGTTACACCTTCTTTCTTTGCGTGAACATTTGGGCGGTGTGGCAAATCTTCCCACATCGTGATGTAGACATGTGGGCATAAATATTTTTCATAAAGTATTTTTTCAGACTTGTGGAAAGAAAACATCCAAAATACACTTCAGTTACATTTCATATTTTTAAAGGCTGTTTTCTAAAAGGGTTGGTTTATATATAACTAGCCTGATTTTATACAACATTTTATTCCTAAAAAATGGTGGAAATTATTTTTTTCTGACTGTTGACAGTATTTTCTGATGTATGGAGTTTTGCTCTAGAAATGTATGCAAATTAGTGCATATTTAATTAGACAACACCTCATTTGCATATTTAAACATAACATTTGAGAAAACGTGTAAAACCGAAATGTTTGCAATTCCTAATGTAGTCAGTCTATTGGGGAAATATGTGGATATCTATTAGTTTTTTTCCTATTCACCTGGGGTGTCTCGTCTTTATATTGGCAAATGAATCTGACACTGCCCCAATAAAAAACAACAACAAAAAAAGTATTATAAAATGGTAATACGTACATCAAACCCAGAATGTCAACTCAACATGTTCTTCATTATTACATCACTTATCAATATTTGGTGAAAAATCCCTTATTTTATAAAAAGATAAACACTAAATACTTTCAAGAAGTTTTCTGCACATTTTAAATAGAAAAATGCACTTGAGTGTAAGTTCATGAAACTTCACCTTACACTGTGAACATTACACATCTACAAACACCATAACAAATACTGGCAGAACTGCACATTTTCATAAAACACCATCATCATAAAATGGAAATAACTGAGTTAATAACTTTTTCCCTAAGAAGTGTTTGCTGAAATTCTACTTACATTTGCAATAACTTGTTTCTCAGACTTTGCACTCTTCTTCCCAAGGTTCAAGAAGACCTTCTGAATAAAATCAAACATATATTTTAACTCCTTATTGTTCTTTCTTCAAAGAGGACAATGAATGCATTGGTAAAGTCTCCCACGTTTTCCCAGAGGCAAACCAAAATGAAGTGGGGGCCCCAGGCAAAAGACGAGGCCCTTCTAAAAGATTATTTTGTTAATATATCTTCGTTACCTAGACATATATTTATACAACATACAAAAAGTAGTTAAAACACATATAATAGAACATAAATTGTTTATTTTTTTTAAAAACAAAGTGCTTATTCTTTAACAAAATATCAATATTCATCTTTATGACAGAAGATACAATACAATCTTGAAGATACAGTACAATCTTCATATTTACAGTAACGGATTGTCGCCTTAAAAATGGTGCTTTCGAGCCTTAGCTACAGCAAATGCTGTCACTATGTCCTTCATATCCAGAGACCTTCGTATGTTCCGTTCAATTGAAATTAGTGCCAGTGCTGACAGCCTCTCTTGGTTCATTGTTGACCTGAGGTATGTTTTTATCAGCTTAACTAGTTTTATTAGTTGACAACTAATTATGTTAACTCAACTAATTTAATGTAGAAGAGCTAAATAAATAATGTCAACTAAGTAAATGTAATGATATTTATTTATATTGATTCGTGGCCTCCCCACTGGCAGCAAGATACAGTACCCAGGGATGCAAACTAATAGACGAGCACCCCCCTTCAAAATAAAACCCTACATTTTTTAAACACTTATAATAATTTAAAGCCTTTATTATTATTATTATTTTAACTCTGCCAAAAATTCACTTTAAATGTTCACTTTCATTCATGAAGAAGGCGTGTCTGCTTAACTGAACATGACTTTGAACACAACTTGTATTATCTTAGAGTTATTGACATATGGACATTAATTTGTTGCCAGAAGATGCTCCCCAGTGGGTCACAGTCACCTCTGGCTGTTTAAAGGATATTTTTTGATTGTAACCTTGAAACATGCATTTTCTAAAGCTGCTTTGATTGTGAAAAGCACTGTACCCTTACAAGAGTTAACCATGTTTTTACTATGGTAAAACTAGTAACCATGACTGTACACTATAAAATAATGCTGGGTTTAATAGGGACAAACCCAGCAATTGGGCTGTTTTGACAGAGCGGTTTGGTTAAATGTTTAACCCAACCTTCTGGGTAGTAACCCAACCGCTGAGTCAAAACAACCCAATTACTGGGTTTGTCCCTATTTTACCCAGCACTGGGTTGTATTTAACCCAGCACTTTTTAGAGTGTAGTAATCAGGGGTTTCCCCCCCCCCCTCAAACTAAGGTTTTGATATCAAGGTTATACTATAGGTTAGTAATGCTGGAGTAAAACTGTGGTAACTATAGTTTTTGGATAAACAATGGTTGGTTATTGTAGTAAAACCATGGCTGATTTTGTGGTTGACTTTTGTAGGGGTACAAATATGTATGAATGCTTCTATTTGAAAGTCACATTGGATAAAACCATCTGATACTGTAAATAAATTAGTATATTTCATGTGATTCACTGAAAATAAATGTACAATTGTGATGTGTGGCCCGCTGGTCTTATGTTAGCTGGGAAGAGACACCGAGCAAATGGCGCTTCCCTAATGGTAGTCTGAGCTTACTCACGCGAAAACTCCTGATATAATCAATAACTAACTACACAATGAATATCTTATTTACATCGTGTATGCTTTCTTTTTGTCTTGTGATAATAGGAAGATCTGTGAGCGTGTAGAACTAGTAAACTTGCGAAAACAAAAATGAGATCAGAGCGGATTCTGATTAATCAGTAAACACCTCTGATTGGCCATAGCTTTCAACAGAGATGCCTGTGATTGGCTACAATACTCAACGCTGCAACGTTGTAAATAGAAACTTTTGATTTTGTAATTCGAAACCAGAGCGTGCACACAAAAACACACGCGTCTTTCCCGGTACCACCTATAATATGCTGCTGCTAAGTGCAACCCTAGCTAACCTGTTTCCCAGTAACCCTATTAGTAATTGGACTATTAGCTACCAGTAATTCATCTTGCAAATAATTCAACGAAAATAAGCTGGAATTAACAACGAAAACATTTGTTTGTCAATAATTATCCTTAAGTCACTCTTATCTCTATCATTTACAGCTGTCATGTTTCCTCTTTTCCTCTTCTTCTTGCTTTTTCCCCGCTTCTGGCTGCCAGAAGGATAAGTCCTTTTCATGTTTAAATGTGCAATGTGTAATATTTACATCGATCTATTGACAGAAATGCAATATAATATACATGACTATGTTTTCAGAGGTGTATAAAGACCGTACTTAATGAACCGTTATGTATTTATTACCTTAGATTGAGCAATTTATACCTACATACACCGCGGGTCCCCTTACATGGGAGTCGCCACCATGTTTCTACAGTAGCCCTAAACGGACAAACTGCTCTACACAGCGCGTTTCGTCACTTTGTTGTTCTTGCGAATAAAACACTGACACAATGATGAACAAGTACATTAATATTCGCAATAACATCGATTTATTGAACAATTAAGTAAATACAATTCCTTAATTTACCTTTGTATAGAAATCTCATTGCTCTCTGCTGTCTTTACCGACAACATCTTAGTCCTGTATCGGCCACCGTAGCTTCTCTAAAGGAAGGGGTGAGTGGGGGACTGAGCCGTTGGTTGCAATTCGCAACCTCACCTCTAGATGCCGCTAAAATTTACACACCGCACCTTTAAATTAGCATATGCAAGAGTAAGCGCTGTGCCAATTTGAAAACGGCGGCTGACGCACCAGGAGGAAAAAGCAAGCACATCCAGTGTAACGCGAGAGGGGCCCCCCTAGGGGGGATGCAGATCTATTGCGCCATGTTATATTAATAATGACATTTCCGATTGTTCAAATGGTCAGCTGTCGGGGGCCCCCTCAAAATGCGGGGCCCCAGGCAATTGCATGCCTTGCCTGCCCTATCCATGAGTTCCAAAGATGTCAC